TACTCGGGCGTCAATGAAGGTCACCTGTCAACTTAGAGTAGTGCGTAAAGATTACTTTGTGCGGCTATAAACGACCGTTAAATGAAATGATGAATCTTCGAAGGATTTTGAAAACGGAAAAATGATAGTCAAAGTTGACGATGCCAGCATCATCAACATTGAAAAATGCCCCGGCATGAAGTGGTTAAGGCATTCATTCATCATTGTCAAGCCTCTCGTACTTAGGCTGCATCCAAATCTGATGGCTAGAGCTAGGTCTAGGTCTTCACCATTGGCAATACATGGAGGTGCACAGACAGCAGACCTAGCCGTAGCTCTGAAAGCCCATTTCATACACAGCCTTGGTGACTTGCACGATCATTTGACTTGTGACGACATGACCGGGTCACAACTCTGACACTTGGTCAGCAGTTCACACTTCGGCCTCCGTACTTTCTCACCTGTAGACGGCCTTGCCAGCTTCCAGACCCATCCAGTCCAGCGCAAAGTCCGTCTGGCGGACAAACGGTGACAGCTTCTTGACCACGTAGTGACCGATGCGTAGCACCACCTGAGGGCACTGTCGCATAATACTGCAAAAGCAGAACAACATCACACCTTGTGAAACAGGTTTTCCAGGGGGCATGAGCTGGACGACTCCCAACACATTTCTAGGGGAAACTTGCCTCATTCTTGGTGGCTCGCTCAGACATAATGTAGAAGGCTCTCGATTTGAAGGCAGATTTGGGTCCTGATCTTTGATACCAAAAAAGATTTTAAAAGCCATGACTGTCGGACTCTACCAGTCTAAAAGAATCAAACTCAAACTCCAACATTCGCAACTCTTGACTGAGGTTCATGTTCAACTCTAAGCAAGGCACTCCACTAAAACTCGACTTTTTTGAGTCTTGGCCCGACGAACAAAGACTCAACAATAAAGCGGTCTCAAAACAAAGCTGAAACCTTCATGGGTACATGAGCTATCCTCTAACGCATTCTTTAAACAAATTGGCGCATTTATCGATGCCAAGTAATTTTTTTTTGCCTGAAAAAAAGAACTACGTGTTTCATTATTCTTTGGATAAAAGAAGCGTTTAAAGTTCACTTTATTGGCTTGTGGCACACAGAGACATACAAGGACTCAAAACTCATTTTCAAACTCATTTTTGTTGCAATTTGTGGTTTGAATAAGAGCTTATCAATAAGAACCGAGCTTCAAGTACTGGCCCTAACGAGTGTTCCTTCATACTCACCTGTAGAAGCTGGTTTTGCTGATGGCCACCACGAAGCAGTCCTGTCGGGCTCGGACCGTGAAGAAGGATGGCTCGCCAGTCAGCACGGCCAGCTCGCCTACAAACTCCCCCGGCCGGGCCATAAAGATGACCTGCTCCTCGTCAGTGTCTACGATGGTTTGGATCATGGCCAGGCTGCCGGTCACTACAAACAGCAAACTGGCTTCCTGTGGTGTGGACAAAGAGACTTGTATGTGTAGCAGTTGAAGGGGCAAAAAGCACACACCATTATCCATCCTACACAAATACACAGGACAAATTTGCCCTTTCATGAGTCAAAATCAATCGGGTAAAAGGTGTGAATGTGGAAGAGCAAGGGAAGTGGATTAAACTAAATGAAAGACACATTGGGAGAGTTAACCCTTATTTGCCCATCGCAGGGCATTTAAGGACCAACTGACAAAGTAGGAATTTTCCTTCAACTGACTCACATTACAGAGTGAACAAACAGGACCAAAAATAGAGGAAAAATGCCAAGCAGAATCCGACAAACAACTGTTGGCACCTGAGGGAATTAACTGAAACCTGTCAGAGGTAAACAGGGTCTTTTTTTTTTTAATTATTCACTTGTGTATTAAATCTCTTTCACCTGTAGGAGTCGTACAATTGAACATTATTTGCCATAACTATACAAGATCCCTCCCTGCCGAATAAAGTACAGTAAGCCATCTGAAGAATTATTGCGTCTTTGAAATCTTTTGTGGGTATATGTGCACTTACTCAACACACAGAGGTTTATAGGTTTTCTGGGTGTAAGTCATACATATGTACATACTGATGCACGCATGAAGTCATTTGCACACAGACTGCTCCACAAAGGCTGAGTTCGGGCGGCTTGTTGTCGTATGTTCACGAACAGCTTGATTTGTCATTCTTGGGTCAGCCGCTTGAACGCCAGGAACGTACAATTGGTCACCGCTGGTAGTTAGTGACAAGCAACATGGCGGCGTCCATATCGTAGTAAACTATTCGAGAGTTAATGCTTGGACAACTGGGCTGAATTCTTTTCTATTTAAACAGGAACATTCACTTCTGTGTTGTGAAAAATAATTAATGTTAATTTTGCAAAACTTCCAATTGTCTCCGACTTTGTATATCATCTCTCTATTTTTTGCTGCTGTTCAAAAATCAAAATCTCACGAGTTTTTCCATGTGTTCCTGTAAAACCCTGACGAGGAGGTGGTGGGTGATCCTAATCCAAGAACAGTGTTCTTGAGTCGTGTTCCCGCCATTCGAGCGTGAGAACAAGAAACCCGTGTCAAGAACACGGCACCCAAACTCGACCAAAGAGTTTTGTAGAGCAGTCTGTGTGCAAATTACAACATGTAGGCAGAAGCACAAAAAGTGCAAGGTGCCACACTGTAATGGATTGGACACATTTTGAAGCAAAATCGGGCCCCTGACAGAAGCTAAATCATGACTGTGAAAACAGGTCAAATAGGGCTAAGTTCTCTTTTGGAAGAGCAAACAAAACCATGGCTACGTGCCTGCAGGGTGAGTCATTTAGTACAGCTATTCATCTGTGGGGAAAATTTCTGACTTTTCTTTGGTCACCGAAAGTTTCTAAAGTTTCTACATGAGTACACTTTGCTGCTTCTGGATCTAAAGAACCACATACACATAAAAGCGTCTCTTTTTGGCTTGTACAGTGTGTCGCTGCAGCTCAACGCAGCATATACACATGATACTGTATGATCAGATCTCTGCGAGTTATTTTAGCCGCATCAGCCTATGGCTGGCTGTGACGCATCAACAGAATAGTAATGCTTTCCCACTGAGGGCGCCATGCTGTCTGTGAGCATACAGTGAACGCATTGTACCGTACTCCCACAATGCACTGCAAACCACAGCCGACACGGAGCTGAACTCCCTATTTCTGCTGTTTTGCGTTTCATAATAAAGCCATCAAATTTCTGTCAAGTCTGCCACCACTATTGAAATGGCAACTGGCATTATGTTTATTCTACTGTTGGTTTACTGCAGAGTGCTAACAAATATTCATGCTGGTGGTGATCAACCACTGACAATTGCACAGTGTGGCAACCGAGCAAGAAAGATCACTGCCCACGTCAATGACACAGTCAATGCAACCTGTGCATACCAAAGCGAGGATTCAAACAACGTGCGACTGCACTGGAATGCACCAGCAGATGGTCAGCTATACTTCAGCGAGGTGCAGAATAACACTGGAATTTACCGCTCAGCAATTTTAACTTCGACGAAGCCGATTGAACAAGTTTTATCCTGTTCTGCAATTGACACTGCAACCTGTCATGAGGTGGCTTCCGCTTCCTGCAGAATCGTCGTCTGCCCCAAGGAGCCTGCTCCAATCTGCAGTAAAGTTGTGAGATCAAAGACCGACCAGCACCTGTACCACTTCTCATGTACATTCAGCACGGTATGCAGTGCAGCTCTGTGGTGCAAGGTTAACGGATCGGAAATTTCCCCGACGAGGGTGGCTGCCATTGGGGGGAAACATTTCAAGTCCACTTACACTGGCATCAATTTAAGTGGGTCTCGCACGGTTCTCTGCTACCTCCACAATCCCTCCATGGACCCCATTCTCCGCACTGAGATTCTGCTCCCAGTCGACCAGCCGGCTGAAGGCCCATCTGAACCTCCATCCAACCCACCGAGTGACTCATCAGAGCCAGTCAATGGCCCATCAGGAATGCCGTCCACACAATCTCCTTCTCAAAGGAAGGAAGGGGGGCTGAGCTTCGGTGCAGGTATTGGGGTTGGAATCGGGTTAGGGACAGCCGCAGTATTCATCACAATTTGTGCTATGCACAACAGAAAAACTAGGGGGCAATGTGACGCATTAACCAGTGGACAAAAACAGGATCAAAATCTTCCAAGCTTAAACTGTAACCGTAACACACAGATTGCAACAACTTCCGCTGAATTGGACACTCCTTCCACTGACCCTTCCACGAAATGATTGATCTTTCACAAATCTACAGCTGACCCATCTTGCATGGCCGTGTAGGCAAGTACTTCAGTTCTCTTGCATATTCGTTTCATCACAACATTAACTTCCTGACAATAGTGAACATGCAACAGCTAAATGGCGTCAACCTGTGTACTTCCAACACCAAGAATACAGCCGCCACCATGTCGACTGGACATCACTACCGGGATATCAGCTAGTTCTCAGAAAAGAGCAAACATAAAGAAATACACTACACAAGGAAGGCACAGTTTGCCAGGGTCACACTTTTGGGGACTTTCAACGGTACTGAGTAAAAAAACTGTAGATGGTAACAACAAATGTCAACAAACTTTATACAAGGAGACATCAATCGAGAGAAAGAAGAAAAAATATGAGGCATTATGGTTGAGGTATTAACTGCATCGTGACCTTTCAACTATGCAAATTGTGGTAACCAAAACACATTGGCTCATAGAATGACTACCATTCATCTGCTGAGGTGGATAATGGTAGCTTCTGTGCTACTTAATTTGTAACAAGGTGAAAGAATTCCAGGTTAAAATGTGTAAAATTGAAATGAAACGTACAGCTGGTATATGAAGGATTTTTAGGGGGCGGTGATTGAAAAGAAGCTGTGTTTTATCCAAGTTCAGGGTGGGAGGTCAAAATGTTTCAGCATGTTTTGCAGGGTGAGGATTTATCAAGCACTGCATGGAAGCATCTGTATGCAAGGTTAATTCTTGTGATGTGGTTTTTTTTATTTGTCTGTGAAGACTGAGGTGCCTTGAAATTGGTTTCTGTACAAGTCCAAATGTGGAAACAAACAAAAGAAAACATGCTTTTTTCAGTGTTAACTATAAAGGACAGTTTACCAGTCCAATTTGCCAGACACTTAAGCTTCTCTGTATTACACAATGATGCTGGCTGGGATTCATTTGACCTTAGCCCACTAAGCAGAAAGATCAAGTGTTTTCAAAGTTGTAAAGAGGGAAAGTGTTAACATAAATGGCGCTATTGTGGTCAAGAAAAATTTAGATTTTGCATTTTGAAAAGCATTTTCAGAAGAGTGCACATGTACCCCGAGGCTATGTTTTGAAGACAAGTCACATGTTAACTCCATCAGTCCTTGATCCTCTGACAGGTGAGAGATTGATGAGAACTCTCAGGTGCAAAGTACACATACAAACCAAAAAACCCAAAATACAGTGTAGTTTTAAGTGTAATTGCTTTTTAAGTTCGGCAGCTACGGTGCATGCACATGGAGAGAAATATGCCCGTCTGTCAACAGGGATACCAGCCCAGTTCTTGTCCAGACCCTGAAATGATTCAGCCGACATTTCACTGGACAAAGTAGCTAGAGAATGGGCTTTTGGATGAAACCTGGCATTCCGGTTGTCGACTAGCATGAAGACCTCATTTATCCGTTCCAATGATTTCTGACATGCCTTTCATTTACACGTACAGATCATTTTGTGTTTGAAGGACAAATATGTTGTTTCACTGTTATACGTTTACCCCAGCTACACAAAGTATTATATTTGATTGTAATTGCCGCTGAACACCATATACAAAAGACTTTGATATTTTTCTGGGTTGTTTTACACCCAATCAGGCCGAGGTCTTAAATGATTTGAAACCTCCGTTAACTGGTCAGAATGCATTTTCAGAGACAAAAAAAATGCACTAAATTCATGTTACTGATGCCAGTGTCAATGGAGGGTGACTGCAGTGAATAAAGTGAGTTCACTTGCAATTTATGCAAATTTTGTACAAATGATGGGATTTATCAGCACTTTAAAAGGAAACCTGCACGGGACAAAGGCAACTGAAAAGCACATTTATGTCAATTTTTTTTAATTTAGCAGCGGGAAGTCCAATGAAGTCCAAAGATGCTTTTTTTATGACATTGATTTTGCTTCCATTTTGTGAACGTACTAAGATGCAAAACTTGTATACATGCAAGACGTTTATTACACGATCTGTACACTTTGAGGTGTCAGCATTATTAATAATGATTTTGTACAACTAATTCGCGAAGGGTAATTATGCAGGTGTGAGCAGAATTAATTCCAACGAAATCATTATGCTAACAAATGGAGGCATATCTATCTGAACATGTCATGGTTTATGCAGAATACAGCTGGAAACAAATTATTAGTTTCATTAAACTTTGGAAAGAGGTCAAACGAATAAAAACTGTCGTAAATACATGTATTATTCTTTTATGTTGTTCCCTGACAAAAATAAAATAAAGTTTATCAAATTATAAATTCCATCCCCCAAAAAACAAATTACTTGAAGGACAAATAAGTGATTAGACTTGGAACAGTTCTGATCGGTACACATGGTGCATCCCATCATTCAAATAAACAACCTGCACTGAACTGACGTTCCATTTTGGGCGTGGCATAACAATTGCTACAAAACTGAACGCTACTGGCATCATGTGTCAACTGCCGAGGGCGTGGGGGAGGATAGGGAGGAAACTTCTTTGAGAAACAGTGACAGGTACATGTGCATGACAATATGTGACACATAAATCTAGCAAACAGAAGATGCATAAACTGACGCAAAGAAAACAACTAGCCACTGTATCCTTTTTATTGAGACTCAATACATGTACACAGGCATATCCCAACAAAACAGGGCATAAACTTGTCAGTAAAAACATTAATGACAATGGCAAAAGAAATTACGTTGGTGGCACTCTAAAGTTTTCAATAAAAAGAATATAAATGAAGGAAAACTTAGTAAAAATGAATGGAGCTGAATCGAAATGGAAGGTCTTGACTCAACAAAACAAATCCCAAAAATAAAAACCAAATTTGTGCCAAAAATCAGTGGAACAGAGCTGAACTGGAGGCACAAAGTCTTGACTCAAGGCGATGTGAGCGAATTTTCACTTTGTCACCAAGGGATGGTGGTAATACAGAAAGAGCAAACCAGGCTCGTGCAGGGCAGGAAGATGTGGACTAGCGGGTTAATGTCTGTAACCCCTGATCAGAGGGCAAAGGGTTTGCAAACTTTGCATTGGCCTGTGGGGACATAAATTGTGACCTGGGCAAATCACTTCATGCCAACTTGTCTCTCTCTCTCCATCAACGGGTTTTGGCATTAAAGCATAGCTGGGAAGCAACAGGCGATGGACTGACAACAAATGATATTGGATAATATTCTCGGTCGTTTCATTCCAAGGAAGCTGGAGATAAAAACCAGTCTGATGAGCCACTCTGGCTTGGGATAGACTGTCGGGCAGTTCCCACCGTCCCATTAAACTCTAATCTTTGACCAAAGCTTAACAACTTGTGCAAAGAATTCGCACTGACACAAAGGGGACTTTACCTGATCTCCTTCCCGTATGACCACACTCCCCGCTTGAATGTGAGCGATGTTTGCGTGCTCGTCGAGAATGCTCCCATCCTGTCAAATTACAAAGAAAAATAGTACAGAATTACAAACCAGTCCCTGAACATTACCCCGCAGAGCATGATCTTAAAACATGTAAAAAGTCTGTGCAAATACTTAAAAAAGGATTAATGCACTGAACTAGAATATATCAACAATAATGTTTCACTCCAACTAAAAGGTTAATTTGATTTTACCATAAAATTTCCACAGTTATTAGAGATAGAATATCAAATCAAAATGACCAAAGATAAAGGAACTGGTATTTTGATCCATCAATTTTGCTGCTAAATTGACTAAAAACACAGAAGTTCTTCACCTCCAGGCCTAGAATCCTGACCAGGTCCTTCCTGGCCATCTCCTGGATCTCCTCGTCCGAGTAGAGGGTGTTGTCACCCGAGACATTGCGTTTCTTCTCGCTAGGGTTTGTCTCATATCCCTCGGCGATGGTGACTCTTTTCTGGACCCTGGGACTGGCTGACGCCAGGCCCTTGACGTCCGATCCGCTGTCGGTTCCAGAGGGGCCCGGCAGGTCGTCTTGGAGCATCTGACATTGATTACAGTTGAGGACATAGAACGTAAATTTCAGAGAAATGATACGTTCTATGCAGAATATAGTGCTATATGCCCAATAAAGTTCCTGCCTCTGTGTATAACTTTGCACATGCAAAATGCAAGATAGCGCCTAAGTCTACAGCGAGGTCTATGTCTCCAGCGACCGCAAAAATAGTATCACAACGTTGAAAGTCCTTTTTGAACACAAACGGTAATCTGGCTGAAGAAAGTATTTCTATTTTATTCTCATGCAAAGCTGCTACAAGTTTTGTACATATTCTGTTGAAAATTTAATTGCATGATTTCTGCACCATTCAAGCGGACACTATGTAAGGGGCTTTCCTAAATGCAACAGTACAACAGTACCAGAGTTGTTCCGACAGAAAAACCATTTCAAGAAATATTTTTCCCGTAAAAGCATTCAGGATACAACTTAAATAAGAAAGCTGCAAGGCTGCTAACAGGCCTGGGACTGGGACTGGCCCTGCCATGCTCGTGCTGTATTTACAGAAAACAAAAGATGTTAGACAAAAAAAAACTTGTACACATAATGATATTAAACAGGCTGATGTCCATGCAAGTAGGGTTACACAAACAGGGGTGTGAGTGGCCACTTCAAATTTAAGCTGAAAACAGCTAGCAAAAAGCTGAAATGTAAACCGTTGCAATACGTTTGTGCAGACAAGGTGTACAAAAAAGCTCGAATTCAGGGTCAGCATCTAGACAAAAAAAAAGCTGAACTCAGCTAAAAACTGAATTCTCACACTTAAGCAAAGAGGTTGACACACATCATGAAATGACGGTACATGAGCTACTTTCGAGGGAAGATTGGAAAATAAGTTTGAACGCAGTTTTTCGCATGCAGGTGAAGAGAAAAACAACGCTGTCTGCATGCATCTTACGCACTAGCTACTTGCGCGTCTGCAAAGTGCTGAAACGTTCACCTTGCTGTCTGAGGTGACCAGACATCCCCTGGTGGGGGGTGTGAAGACGGCATCGGAGCCAGGGGACATCAGAGGGTCCCCTCCCAGGTCCTCACTGGCAGAGCGAGGCAAGTCAGGGGGCTTGCCCGAGCTCTGGAGGTAGGTTTGTTTTTTCAAAGCGGGGTGAGGTGAGGTCGGGTTAACAATACGGGGAGGATTATGGGTAAAAAAGGTGGGTGTGTTTTATCATCGGCCGCTGATTGGGATACCCATGAGACCTTTGTCAAATATTCACAATGCTGATTGAAACATTCTTCCATCTTTGATATGTACAATTGCCCACCATCAATGAGAAATTGAAGAAGTCGGGGCAACCGGGACGCTGAATGCCATATCTGTGCTGTGTGCTCCGCATCCATGTAAAGACGGTTCAGATGTGCACAACTGCCTGTGCATGATTTGTGCCGGACATGTGCGTGTTTTACATTTACCACAGAGGACAGAACATAGACTGATGTTCCCTGTCCTCGGCGGTCAGTCTAATGTCCTCAGAGGTACGTGCCTGTCCTTAGTCTATGGGACAGCATTATATTGCACGGCCAATGGCAAACACGACGCCCCTTCCTCGGTGGTATCCGCTCCGAGCGGGGACGAATGAGAGCATGTTTTTTAAGTGAAATTGGCAGTCCTTTGGTGCAACCTCACCGCACAGGTACGCAAGTTTGAGCACATTTGACATAGGGCAATGAGTACGCGCAAAAAATGTATTCTGGAACGTATGGTCTTTGCGTGCACGCCGACTGCATGCAAGAACTTGGAAAACTTCATGCCAGTCTGTCTTTCTTTTGCCGGTGAGGATGCATTTAAACTCAGGGCAGACTGTGATGAGACACAACAGTGTGTCACCCTAAAAGGGACTACCGCTGGGCCAAAAGACTACTGCACTGTGAGATTGTTACAAATGCTGTTAAATGCAGGCGGCGACGTCAAAACACCAAGATGCATGAGGTGAACCTCTTATTCCAAATTCTTTATAAATTCCACAGGACATCAAGCCCTACGAGAGGGAATGCAACCAGTCATGCCATCAAATGCAGAAAATGCTTACTCTGCAAGCTTAAGCTCTAATCTCATGCAGTGTATACTGACCACATCCTTTTTTTTTTTTCAAGTTGGCTTAAACACATTCATTTACTAAGTAGCATTTTCTGGTTATTTGGAAGCTCCATAAGAACTGAGCCCAGGGTCAGAGGTCAGGGGGAGCTGGAGAAACTATTGCTAAGCAAATGTATGTGGGGAGTCGGGTTGGCGTAGTGTTTTTTTCTTTGTCGCCTTCCGCCTCTGGGGGGCCTGGGTTGGAATCTGGCTTGGTCCACATGTGCATTGGGGTTTTCAGTTCCCACCTGAGTCTGTGGGTTTGCCCCTAAAGATTTATCCCAGGTTTTCTTCCCACTTCTAAACCTAGACACTTCTTCAATGTCTTCTTCACTAATTACCATCCTGTAATTGGTGCTAAATGCGCTGTTGGATGATCAGATATACATAAATGAATAAAAGAAATGAATAAATGTATTAGGCCAAAACAGGGGGACGAGCATATATATAGGGGTCGGGTGGCCTGTCACATCCTGTAGCTGAGACTATACTTTCTCTGGACCAATTTCTGTGTTAAATTTCTTTGAGACTGGCCAAACTAACACAAATTCCTCTCCAATGAGACCACACAGTACAGAACAGAAAGCTTTTTATTTTTACACCGCGAGCGAACTGCAAATTATAGACAGGAAGTTATTCTCAACCTCCAATCACATCAACTGGCTTTGAATATTAGGGAACAGTGGATTGCGTCGGTTACCCCTTTGTGAGGCTTGCTGTCGTCCAGCCCGTGGACTCGCGCCCGTCCAGCTGCAGCCTGGAAATCCGAGGTGCTCATGAGAAGCCGTCCGGTGGTGTCCACCTCCAGCGACGTCGGCTTGGGCTTCTTCTGTCCTGACGGCACATTCAGGCCTAAGGATAAACACGTTATCGTTATGACAAATGGCTAATTTGTGAATGAATTTATGACCAAATAAAGTAACAACTCTCTATTCTGATCCCTTGAACCAGAAAAAATGGCAACAAGGGGATTCCCCAGCCCTGTAAATTTTCAGTAAATCTGCCACAACACCATTTTTACATCATAACATGTACATGTGTGTCTAGGACAGGTGGCCATATCAGCCAGGCAATTGGCCTCAATAGGCCTGAGTTCTAATTCCAGCACAAGGCATAAATGATGGACACAGTCACGGAATAACAGACACCAGCAGCCTTGGTCATGGACAGAGTTTTCTATTAGTTCTCTGCCAGACAGAGATCTCTGCTGTGCGGCTACTTGAGAGTGGTGCATTGATGAGGTGAGGACGGGGGAGGGGCATATAAACTGAGGGTGCTAGGGAGGAAGAAGGGAGTGTGGATTCCCTCATTGACTCTATAGAGAGTGACTAATAACCTAGAGATGGATACCAGTGAAGGGCAGCTCATGCCTTCACCGGTAGTGTCCATCCATTCTGCACACTGCATACCAATCATGCACACCAGGGAAGATGAGCACTCGCCCTAATGGTAGTTTATAGCTGGTTCCCAGTCATTCTAGACTTTGCATTCAACAGTGCGGAGATTAGTCTGCTGGTAAGATCCCTTACCTTATCAACTACATGCATCATTATAGAGGCTTTGCGTGGTAGCCATCTTGCAGGGCAAATCTTTTGTTCCACAGGGAAACCTCTTTTGTGCATATCCTATGGAACAGAAGCACTGGCCTCCAAGATGGCAGCCATGCAAACTCTCTATTACAAGCTACAAGTCACTGTATACCGGAAGCCAGACAAATGCCCTAAACATACACGAATATCATTATATAATTATTTTCTTACTAACTACTTTCAACAGTTAGACTAATACAAGCACATTCTAAACACTTCCATACAAAATGGCGTCCAATCACAAGATGTCAAACTACCATGTGACCACACGGTTTACCCCAGATCGGTCATCAATATCCCAAGCAAGCCTTGGGTTAGCAACCGTACCTCAGATATTGTACGCCTGACACCACTTGTGCCAAATACGGTTGTTGTTCTAACCCAGAGCTGGGTTAGGGTTAGGGTCTTTTTTGCCATTTACGACGCCTTCAAAGCTTCCCTACAACGTAAACTCGGTATGTGGGTCCTGCACTACATACCAGAAATTTGTGGTGGTTGTCTCTAACTCCGAGTGAGCGGGAGTTACATAACACGGAGTCCAATTCCACTAAAGCAAAAAACAGCTTGCACTTTTGTTATTTTCCCCCCGGAATAGATACCGAAGGCAAGAGAACAAGGTCAGAAAGGGTGGAATCAGTGAAAGGCCATGAATAAGTAGATGCAATCCTTCGCGTCCCCTGACAATATTGGCACAGTAGAGCGGATTGCTGAAATTGCATAATAGAATGATGCATCCAAATTAATTGCATTTCCCCGTCAAACAGAACCAAGTTGCTAAATGGCTGAATGATAAGAGAAACCATCCAATCAGAACATTTGAATGCTCCCCGCGGAGCCAATCACAGCAGCCTTGCCAAAAACCCCCACCTGAGCACAAGAAATGTCACAGTGGACTAATCTGGCGACTCCAGTTAGCAGACATTAAGGCTCAGGCCATGTCTGAGTGACATGGCTCTGGCTACAAAATACAACACGACTCTAGCTCTACAAGTGGCTACAAAACTGCCATAGATGTTATGTTGAATTTCAAGCCACAGCCAGGAAAGAAGATAAATCAACAGCAGCTTAGATCTGCTTTTTCTTGATCCCCTTTAATAAATAACAAGTTATAAGAATGAGGACCAACAACAAAAAGCTGCCCAAGCCACTCTTAATTCATCATTCTTCTCTAACAGCCGTCAAAAAACAGTGCACCTACACCCTTGGCAGGTGCATTCAATTGTTAATCACACTTAAGGTTGAACTGCATAGACCTGAATGCCTGCACAGCATAGACAAATCCACTGACGTTCCACTGGGCACTCCTGATGGCCCGCATGAATGGCAGCAAGCACTGTGTTGGGTTTTGTACGGAGTGACTGTCACAAAACAGTGGCTCCGCACGATAGCTGACACAATGCATACCGCTATTAAAGGGGGCCATTACAAAGACCCAGTGATGGTCACCAGAATGGCCCTTTCGTATGACGTCACGTTAGAGGGTATTTCTTTCTTCGTCTGGACTACGCTCGAGTAAACTTTTTGTGCATCCATTGTGATGATATTAAAGTAACAAAGAGCAGACTTTGAGACACCAGCAACGCATAACCTCTATTATCTAATACAGACTAACATCTTCTTACTATGGTTGGAGAACACGCAGGATTGTGAAAACGTCGTAGCAGGTTGGACCACAACCACTATGGAAACAAAAGCTCTTTTTTTTCTTTCATTTTTTGGCCAAAACTGACACCAATGTGTTAGGTTGAAAGGAAGGACAAAGGTGTGCGTTTTATACAAAGAAGCAAGACAAGGGTCTAGCTGACACAAACGCCACACTCAGGCAATAGACAAGCCGAATTTCAAAACTCACTGATGACGGCCAAGGAATGGGATCGCGGTCGGCCCGTCAGAGGGTTGATTCGACCCATGGCTCTCACTTGACGTGTGGTGGATAAAAGATCAGGTTTAGCAAATGAAGAACACAACTGCATGTCCGGCCTCGATGCGCGACCCGCCCTCTTCAAATGCTGGCGCTTTAATTATGTGCGCAGCTTCCATGCAAAATTCCCGCAAGAATCACACGCTTTCTTTTCTGCGCAGCGCACACATGTGAGCCAGTGCGTCAGCGTCATGCGCTGGCCAAAACATCGCATCTTTGCTTGGTAAAAGTGACCTCTCTTTTTCACTCACTACGCAAGGAACACCATTCGCTTTTCTTCTTACGAGTGACCATCCACTTAGGGTTCATATTATTCCAAGCACAACATGTCCCACTGATTCAGCTGTTTACCACAGCACTATTTTACAAACTAGAGAAGGATATTGACATTTTAAGCAAATCGCAACACAAAAATTTGGGGGACACACCAGTCGTCGACAACTTTACCATTTTCCAAGATGTACCTCTGTGAAAAAAATCCTTTCATTCAAAACTTAAAGAGGAGAGAATGTCTTTTTGAATGAGTCACACGTGGCAAAGCATTGTAGTCACTTTTCCAAAGATCCTTCTGAAATTGACTGGTTATTAAAGGATTGATGTAGGCCCTAAATTGACTCTGGTTATTAAAGGATCGATGTAGGCCCTTGGTCAGCTAACTTGCACGCAGACTACTTTAGATCTTAACATCAAATTTTAAAAAATGTTTCAGGAATGATGCAAATCAAACGATGCCTCTCCTTATGCCAGCAAATGTGCCAAAACGACCGAAACTGACTTACTCGAAGCTGCTGAGCCCGACCTGTTTCTGAACTCTTGATCGCTGTCGGATGCACTGGTACCCCCTGAGCGGTCTAATGACAAAACTAAAAAAATCAAGTGATGGAGACCAGTTAAATTCATACCGGCACAGGTTTTGAAGTATCCCTGATACAGGAGAGTCTACATGATTGATCATGAAAGCTGCAAATACGACCAAGTAAAAAGTAACATAAAATAAAATAAAGGAACGTGAAATGTAGAGTATTAATATCAGAAATCAGGGCTTCAGTGTGGCCTGTTCAAATGACTGGTCTGGGAGATTTCAGTTGAGTTTCCTGTCAACTTGACCCAGAGGGAGGCTGCCAAAAATAGGCCAACACCACGGCACCAGTCCAACCAGTTAAATCAGACTATGGTGAATGAGAAATAACATATACCTTTACTCAAAGAGAAAACTAACAGCCCAGGAGGGGTAAATCTAGAAAAGTGTACACCAAAATAAATTATTTTCTCTCGCAAGCGCTGATGAAATCTACTTTTTTTTTATCAATATCATTTGTAACCTCTAACCTGGTCCAACCTTTGACCTCCTCCTTACCCTTTTTCAGGGCGTCCTTTTCATTGTCCATGTGGGTGACCTTTGTGATGGCCTCGTCACTGGAGTTGGAGCCAATGGAGGCGGTGCTGGGCTTCTTGACCGGGCTCGAAGCCCGGCGGGTCAGCACGTGGATGGCCAAGTTAGGATCGCTGATGTCTTCCTGAAAAAGATCCAATATGGGTCATTGATAAATATGAAGCGCCACCAAGAGGTGACCTCTGAGAGGCCATTTTTGTGTAGGACACTGTGAGAAATGGCAATCTATTCACCGGTAGGCAGGGAATTGTTTCCCTGTATACTTCGAGTATCAGTTTTAATCAATTCACTCCTCATGCAACCGCATGGAATGCCCCAATATAAACCACTCTCCTCCAATATTCTGCTGGAGTACGCTCCAATGGAAATCGTGGCGTGGCGGCCATGTTTTTTGTCCACAGTGACATTGCCAATTGGCCGCTCCTTGTTAGCCTCATGGTGGTGGACTGTACTGTGAATTGCCAATAATTTAATGACAGAATACCCAACAAATGTGTTTATATCTGATATTCATGAAACCTGACCTGATGTTTGAAAAGTTACGCTCTACTTGGCAGATTCTGGACATCAAGTTAAAATCTGGAGCAATCGATGAAAAAAATCCTCTCAAACAGATGTGCATCATATTAAATTTTAAAAAATGGAAATTGAATAGGAGCTCATGCTAAATGAATTCATAAGGAAATTAAAAGTTTACATCAGGCTCACGTAATGATAAACTAGCATTTCCTTAAAATAAACAGCTTCGCAAAAGTCTATCAATTTCTTTATTGACGTTATTATGTTGAATAACTTGCATTGTCAAGAGGCAGAATATAACTTGTAAATTCATGCAGTGCTTAAACTGCAGTACATAATTCTAGGGGCAGAAGAAAGAGAAATTTACCCTGTTGATAAGCTCGCTGCTGAGGCCAAGTAGGTTGTGAAGTGTTTGGAAGGTCACTCGCTGTAGTCTGACCACCATCATCTGGGGAGGGAAGACGTCACTTTGAGAGAAATTCAGACAGCTTACATGGAAGCGGTCAAATAGTTTGGAAGTCTCTGAAGTCAGTGCCAGTCTTAGGCTTGGCCGGAGGGGACTTGATCATCATCCGCAAGCATTTTGGTTCTTCTACGGAACTGTTCTGAACTCGATGTAACAACATCCTTTGCAGTGATGTGACTCATGTCACGGAAGGTGAGCAAAGACGGGGCTGCTGATGAAGGCATCTATCGCAGTTGATTTTTTGTTGTCGGTTTTTGTTGTTTGCTGTTGCCCGTGGTGTTGCAATTGTTTCAGTTTGTGGTGTTGTTGGCGTTAAGTGTGCTGCATTTTTCAATGATTCTGAACTGTGTCATTATTGTCAAAGTGGATCTTGTTGAGCTTGTTGGAGATTAATTTGGGCTTTGGGAAAATGTCACGATTGGCTTGCCCTTGGCCAACATAATTTATTGAGCACTGCATGCCTTGTGCTTTCCAAGTACTTGTGATTAAAATTCACATTTAACTGTGGACATTGAACAGTAGGGTCAATGGTTGGGTGAGGGTCCAACGACTGGAAAACTTTGTCAAGATGCAACGGCAGCCCCTCGCAGAAAGTTGAAGTATGACCAACGGAAGGAAAAACGAGGTCCACTATTGAAGGTAAGGTCACAAGCACGCACGGGCTGGACGCGAGTGTTGTAGCACTGTTGCACTCGTTGAACTTACCTGCACTACTCTGACCAGGCTTTCTGGGTACCTCTCAAACACCGACTGGAACGCTCTGACTGGCAATCTCAAGACCATCGTGTCTTCGGTCGCTTTGGCTGACACCGTCTTGTAAGGGTTGGGGTGACCCTAAATTAAAGACAAAAAAGAAAGAAGTTGGTGGGGTTTTATCGTTCTCGACTCGGTGAGAGCATGCCGTGAAGTGTGGTGCCAAAGAAAATATATCATTCTTGATACTATCCTATTTGAACTAAACCACATGGACTGAGAAATGATTTTCCCAATAAGTCCACATGCCAGATTTTGGAAAGACAGGGAATATGACTTTGAAAGTTCTGTTTTACATGAAGGCATACATTAAGCCTGACGGAGTTGAATTCTCAAAGTGTAACCCCTTCACGGTGGGATTATTTTGAGCGTAACTGCTGGGCTGTGGTATGCCCTGAATGGAGGGCTTTGTCCAGCAGTAGGCCCCATTGAACCAGCAGCTGCATGGTGAATAGACTGTATGTGTGGTATGCACTAATCCTCACACAAAGCCGCGGCAGTAGCAGTCATCCGTCGTGAAGGGGTTAATGCACTTTTTCACACACTGCAAGGGACAGAGTCAACCACGTTTTTCAAACTTTTTTTTTCCGGTGACGAGACTCAAACACTACTGTTTTCCAGACTGAATTGTGCCCCAGAAGTTGTTCGGTCAAAACAAGGTATTAGCAGAGCTCCTTACAGTGATGACGTCCAGCACACTCAGAAGACTGTGGACACTGTCTCCCTGCAAAACCTCTTTCACCTGGAATTCATGGCCATCCTAAAAAGAAAACAGGAAAATCTTTCTTTTTTTTTTTCAAACAGTGTTTTTCTATATATACGTTGGGTAAGGGCAAAACCCGTCATATAAGGAGAAAAATTCTTCGGAGTGAGCAACTCGTTAAAAATACGGTACATGTTCTATGTCTTACACAACGTACTTTTTGAGTATTCGTTGCTTTGGAAATTCGCTTGAGAAATCTATGCGTTTCAGTTGGGAATTATTCCAATAACTCATCACCTCTAGAAGTCAGGAGAGATGCGACAGATTCACTTTAGGTCCATGGAAGCACAAAAAGTAAGATCAAATGGAGAGTACCACCGAAACATGTCACAATGCTATGAATCAAGTATAAACTCAAACATCAAACTTCCTGCTGGATTTGATGAAATAAACATTGCTCCAAAAGAGCACTACCAGCATGATTTGATTAGATGGGACAGAAAAAAGTGACTCTTTCTTGAAACGCTTGATGGGGCGAGTCGACAATTAGGCCACAGGGGAAACATGTAGTATTTCTAGCTACCGGTTCAGTGATGAAGACGCACAGTCTCCCGCACTGGACAACAAAGATGCTGTCATCTGGCTGGCCTCTACGGAAAAGGAAGGCCCCGGCAGGGACAAACTTGGTCTCCACTGACCGGCAAAGCTCTAGAAAGAGCGGCTGCTCGAAATGCCCAAATACCCTGCAAATGAAAGCCCAATATGCTGCAGATAACGGGAGAGTCACAAGAACTGAAAAAAAGTGGTGTTCACTGGTCACCAATGATTTTGAAAAGAACAGGTCAGGGATCACCAGTTAGCCCGGCAGTCAATCACGCTCATCTGTCTGCCAGCATACTTAATATTAGTCAATATAATTTTGGAGTGCGTCCCACGTGTATGACGCTGTAGGGATAGGTGTAACTTGGTAAGAGAGTATCCGTTGGTCATCAGTCTGTTGGCAAGCTTACGTGTGGCTTTTTAGCATGTAGAGGATCTCCACAGGTAGAAGAAGCTCTGAAGATACATGCAACTGTTTGTGGTAAGGTCATTAGTCCATCAGTTGGTCCGTCCATGATCTCATCATCGGCCAATGTTGCTGATGTTTTTCAGCTGTTGAGTATCTGCAGGTTGATTTGAATCTTGTTGCGGTCACCAGTCTGTCAGTCAGTTGGTCACTCTGTCTGTCTGTCTGCCTGTCTGCCACCTCTTCTGATGTGTTTCAGCGTATAGAGTACTCCAGCATAGCTCTGAGGGTTATTTCACTTTGTTTAATCACCTTTCTGTCAGTCAGTGGGACGATCCATCTGCATTTCTGGCAAATTATCTGTTTTTTTCCAGCACGTAGAGCACCTATCTGGGGGTACATGCATGTATTAAGCTCTGAGGGTGACCTGTGGGTGGATCACCTGTTTCAGTCAGTCAGTCAGTTGGTCAGTCCATCTGCCTGTCTGTCTATCTGGCAGCTAACCTGATGTTTTTTAGCATGTAGAGCACCTCCGGGGGTATATGGAGCTCCGGAGGCAGCTGCATCTCGTTGGGATCAGCCTCCAGGATGGCTGGTGGGGGCTCCTTGACCTGAAGCACAGGCTGAATGCTCCCGTCGTCATTCTGCAAAATGCTGTGGTCAGAGGACAGAGGGATGGTCAGAGGACAGAGGGATGGACAGAGGACAGAGGGATGGTCAGAGGACAGAGGGATGGTCAGAGGACAGAGGGATGGACAATACCGACAACAAGCCTTAAAGACCACAATCCCCCAAAACTACCTTCAGTAAACCTTCACAGCGTATGTCATTACTGGACCATCCCTTTCCTTGCCACATTCTACAGCTTAAGCAATAGAAATTGCGGTGGCACATATTTGTAAAACACACATTTTGTTTCCAACTGACTTTTTCTCTTTCACAAAATACAAGCTTCACAACTCAGAAAACTATAATTGACTCTAATTATGAAGGGCAGTTCTACGAATGTTGTGTTGTAAAGAGCAAATTCTGATGGTCGTGATAATCTCTTGAACTGTTTTTACTTTTTCCAGCCTTTTATACGAGAAAATGAATGATAAATGACGACGTACATGTAACTCAGCTAGCCTCGGCAACCTTGTTATAAAGAGATTTGACCGTCGCTGCAAGACGGTATACTTTCTGCTAAAGGGGTAATCTAGAACCCAGTATGTGTGCCATGGACAGCGGATATATATTTCACACAGTTGTGTCACTTCTTCAAGATGTTAGATGTCACATTCTGACTCACTTTTTCAGGCTTTTGGCCAAGTTGATGTAGTCGCGTCTTTTCCGGACTTGCCGGCGTGCGGAATGGGCCTGAGCTCCAGATATGGAGCGTACCTTGAGGCAAACAGTGAAACAAAGCTCAATTTTTCAGAGTATTCATGTAAAGTAATAAAGTTCCGTCCTCTTCACTGTTAAAAAAAATCTGTCCAATGGTTGAAGGGTATCTGAACTTTGACAGATGGGTTGAGCTCAAAGTGGATCTTGAAAAGGCTTTTATGGCATACATGTACCTTTTATGGCTTGTGTGTGATAACGACATTTGTGACCTGTCACCACAAAATGAGCTGAAAGTTGGAATTTTCAAAAAGGGAGATACTGGTATTTTTTCATTCAGCAGAAAGAGAGCTTTCCAATGGTATGTACATGGAACATTTAGGGTAGAAGCATAAGGTGACAATGTGGCATTATTCTGGCAGCTTTGTGTCTTTGTTCCCATGACACTGTTTCAACATTTCAAACCAGGCACGAATAATGCTATCATCAAAATTGCTGAGAAAATGACATTTTACAAATTGTAATTCTGCGAAATATTTGGAATTAAATGGGAGACGGGTGACTCTAAGTTCCAAATATTACAAAACCTCAAAATTGACCTCCACTTCAATATGACTTTGAACCCTCAACACGGGAAAGAGAGGGACGGGACTTCACTCTCATGTTGTCATGACAGGTCATATTTGTATGCCATTTCTATTAAAATATCACAAATTAGAAACTAACAGTGGGCAACTGTTTAGCCTCAAACATAATGTAATAATGACAAGCAGATTTATGCAATTAGTTGATTTGGTTATGACACCAGACTACTGTTGACAGAGTTTTTCTTTAAAAAGAAATGAATTCAGACAGAAATAAAGTGGGATTTTGAGGCAAAGTCAACATACTTTTAAAAAGTGCGATGTGGTACTTCAAATACAGTCTGGTTATAAATACACATACATATTTATATAGACTCTGTTAGATTTCAGAAGTCATCCGTACCTTTCTAAGCATCTTGCGACCGTAAAACATAAATTTTTCCCTTTTCCTGAAGCGAGGCTTGGGGCCTGCAGGCTGAGCCGCACTTGATACTGCATGCAAAAAAACAAAACATTGGATCGAAGTAGGGTCCAATTTAATCTGGTTTTCTGTCTTTCCTCTATGGGGGGGGGACATTTGTTGCTGCTTTTAATACTAAAAAAAAGGTGCATAACTGTGATGCCTATTCCGCGTTAACTTAGTGAAAAGTACATAATGGACATGGTTTAGGCTTTCAGTCATTACTGTCTTCAAATAGCAACTAAATATATTTACAAACTCTGGCTCCAATCTTCAGCAACTGGTGACAAAGGAGTTAGAGTTAGCACTGCTGCACTAAAAGTACATGTATATGGCTCAAACAATGTGCATTTAGCTGAATTGTTGACTGTTAAATCATTTTATTTTTCAGCCTGAACCCGGAATAAATTAACAAACAAATGTTTCTTCCATGCACAAATTTAAAACAATAAATAATTTTTGCTAAAACACAGAAGGCTGCCATTAAATCGACAGTATAGTATTCAATACAAACGTAAGTAAACATGTTGCTTGATGATGAAATTTACTACCTGCTTTTTTTGGCCGGCTAATGAAGAAACGGTAAGCTAACTGTATTGAAGGGTATTGATTAAGATACAGAATGAAAAACACGCTACTTAAGAATGGGATGGGAAATGTCATGAAAGGCCACACATTTTGAATCCATCTTTGGGTAATTCTAGAAATTAGGGGTCCAATTTTTCTTTGTGTTCCTGTCACATCTGGCGTATGATTTTGCAAGTTCAGAACACACTCTCTGATTTCCAAGAGTGATAAGTTAATGCAAATTACCTGCCAAACAAATAGTAACAGTTTGAAATCAATTCCAGGGATATTTCCATGTCAAATAATAAAGGTCAGATACATCTGTAGGATGACCCCTTTCCACAAAAAAAGGGAAGGTCCNACAGAGGACAGAAGGATGGTCAGAGGACAGAGGGAGGGACAATACCGACAACAAGCCTTAAAGACCACAATCCCCCAAAACTACCTTCAGTAAACCTTCACAGTGTATGTCATTACTGGACCATCCCTTTCCTAGCCACATTCTACAGCTTACGCAATAGAAATTGCGGTGGCACATATTTGTAAAACACACACTTCGTTTCCAAGTGATCTTTTCTGTTTTACAAAATACAAGCTTCACTCCAATTATCAAGGGCAGTTCTACGAATGTTGTGTTGTAAAGAGCAAATTCTGATGGTCATGATAATCTCTTGAACTGTTTACTTTTTCCAGCCTTTGATACGAGAAAATAAATGATAAATGACAACGTACATGTAACTCAGCTAGCCTCGGCAACCTTGTTATAAATAAAGAGATTTGACCGTTGCTGCAAGACAGTATACTTCTAAAAACTTTCTGCTGAAGGGGTAATCTAGAACCCAGTATGTGGGCCATGGACAGCAGATATATATTTCACACAGTTGTGTCACTCTCTGTAGATTAATGAATTTATTCAAGATGTTAAATGTCACATTCTAACTCACTTTTTCAGGCTTTTGGCCAAGTTGATGTAGTCGCGTCTTTTCCGGACTTGCCGGCGTGCGGAATGGGCCTGAGCTCCAGATATGGAGCGTACCTTGAGGCAAACAGTGAAACAAAGCTCAATTTTTCAGAGTATTCATGTAAAGTAATAAAGTTCCGTCCTCTTCACTGTTAAAAAAAATCTGTCCGATGGTTGAAGGGTATCTGAAGCTTGTGGTTCAGGCACTTTGACAGATGGGTTGAGCTCGAATTGGATCTTGAAAAGGCTTTTATGGCGTACATGTACCTTTTATGGCCTGTGTGTGATAACGACATTTGTGACCTGTCACCACAAAATGAGCTGAAAGTTGGAATTTTCAAAAAGTGAGATACTGGTATTTTTTCATTCAGCAGAAAGAGAGCTTTCCAATAGTACGTACATGGAACACTTAGGGTAGAAGTATAAGGTGACAATGTGACATTATTCTGGCAGCTTTGCGTTTTTGTTCCTGATATCGTTTCACCATTTCAGATCAGGCACGAATAATGCTATCATCAAAATTGCTGAGAAAATGACATTTTACAAATTGTAATTCTGCGAAATATTTGGAATTAAATAGGAGACGGGTTACTCTAGGTTCCAAATATTACAAAACCCGAAAATTGACCTCCACTTCAATATGACTTTCAGAAGTCATCCGTACCTTTCTAAGCATCTTGCGACCGTAAAACATAAATTTTTCCCTTTTCCTGAAGCGAGGCTTGGGGCCTGCAGGCTGAGCCGTACTTGATACTGCATGCAAAAAACAAAACATTGGATCGAAGTAGGGTCCAATTTAATCTGGTTTTTCTGTCTTTCCTCTATGGGGGGGCATTTGTTGCTGCTTTTAATACTAAAAAAAAAGGTGCATAACTGTGATGCCTATTCCACGTTAACTTAGTGAAAAGTACATAATGGACAGGGTTTAGGCTTTCAGTCATTACTGTCTTCAAATAGCAACTAAATGTATTTACAAACTCTGGCTCCAATCTTCAGCAACTGGTGACAAAGAAGTTAGAGTTAGCACTGCACTAAAAGTACATGTATATGGCTCAAAAAATGTGCATTTAGCTGAATTGTTGACTATTAAATCATTTTATTTTTCAGCATGAACCCGGAATAAATTAACAAACAAATGTTTCCTCCACTCACAAATTGAAAACAATAAATAATTTTTGCTAAAACACAGAAGGCTGCCCTTAAATTGACAGTGCAGTATACAACACAAACGTAAGTAAACTTGTTGCTTGATGATGAAATTTACTACCTACATATTTTGGCCGGCTAATGAAGAAACAGTAAGTATTGAAGGGTATTCATTAACCCTAACCCTCCCAAATCCTTTTCTGCAAAGTGGAGGAACTTGGAGGATTCAGGGTGTATGGCAAAAGTGCATGGCTGATTTCGAAGGATGCCATACGTGAAGGTCGTGGATTAGACCTTATGTTGTTTGTGCTTAGCGAAGCACAAATTCAGCCCGATATTTCTTTTGAATCAACCGCACAGCTCAAGAGTGCCATTCGCACTGCCTCAACATAATGACAGGAATTGCCGGAGGATTTTGAAGGATTTGGGCAGTAAGGCACACCTCCAAATGACATTTTCAAGAACTTGTGGAGGATTTTGGCTGAATGCAATTTTTTAAAGTTGAAAATCGGAGGATTTCGGAAGATTCAGGATGGTTCCTAGTAAAAGTGCCCAGGGGGGTTAGGTTTTAGATACAGAATGAAAAACCTGCTACTTGTGGATGGGCAACATACGAATCTGTGTGGCCAAAAAAGGGCACAATTGAATGGGAAAAAGTCATGAAAGGCCACACATTTTGAATCCATCTTTGGGTAATTCTAGAAATTAGGGGTCCAATTTTTCTTTGTGTTCCTGTCACATCTGACGTATGATTTTGCAAGTTCAGAACACACTCTGTAATTTCCAAGAGTGATAAGTTAATGCAAATTAACTGCCAAACAAATAGTAATAGTTTGAAATCAATTCCAGTGATATTTCCATGTCAAATAATAAAGGTCAGATACATCTGTAGAATGACCCCTTTCCACAAAAAAAGGGAAGGCCC